ACAAAGGACTCTATCAGTGATCAAAAGAGATACATAATTGGAAGGGATTCGAGTGACTTCTCTATTGTCTGCCACCTTACAGAGCACAGATGGTTAGACCACAAACCACTACTCAATATCGCTGCCACCAATGGGGAAACTAAGTGGTGGCACACAAATCAATACCAGAAATAGGCTTAGTCCTGAACTAGAAATAGAAAGAGAGTCATAAACAAAAAACACAGAAGCTGAAGAAGTCAACAAGAGCAGAGCCCTGTTGCACCGTCCTGAAATTTCCACCAGCCCTTGCCTGCACGAGAGCTTTGCTAAGAGTGTCCTTCTTGGGCAGCACTGTTGGTTAGATCTCCTGAGCCCATCTGCACCTTCATGGGCCTGACACTTTAAACAGAAGACTCCAGAAAGAAACATTATAAAGAGAAAATAATTGTTATTTGTAATTTTCCAGCGGTTCTGAACTTAGAAAACTGGCTCAACAGTCTTACATACAAGTATTTAAAGGACACACACACACACACGTGCACCCAGAGGCAAGGGTAGCAAAGTTACAAGGTTACAGTTAGTCTGTCATTGATGGAAACACAGTTTATTCACACAATGACAGTATCTCCACTGCTCATCTCATACCAGTTATTGCATATCAGAAATAATGTTCTTTTCATCAGAGACTAAGTAACTTAGAAGAAAGGACCCAAGTGTTCATTTCTACCAGGAACTTCAGCAAAACAGAGTGATCTGTTGGTTGGTGGTAGTGTGGAGACTGCGAAGTTGTTCTGTTTTGTTTCAATCTGAGGGAGCAGCATGCTTTTCTTTTTTTAACACGTGATTCCATGACAGTGGATGATGGAGTGCATATTTCTTGCAAATGGAGGCAGGCCAAGGTATCCATTTTGCTTTCACTCATCTAGGTGTCTTTTGAACCTGATGAAGCAGCTTCTTTCCTTGATGGGACTTCACTGTACTATTCTGCCATATAAGGTTAACTAATTTTGCATGTTTTTTTGTGCATGAATAAATACAATAGAAATCCAACTTGTCCGTGATTATTAAATTGTAAAATGCACTTGGTTTTCACTACCCACCTCATTGCCCCAGCTAGAGACTCCTGAATCTTCTTTCCTCCATCACCCCCAACATTTCACTTGTCGGTTTTATCCTACGATTCTCCATCACGGCTGTTATCCTGTCCCTGACCCTCAGCCACCTCCGAGGTCACAAGCCCTTGTTTTTGTCCTGATATATTATAGTTGCCTGTTAAATGGCATGAATCATTCTGTGACTTTCAGTCTGTGCCATACCATTCACTTATTATTAAACCAATTAAATCCAGAGGAAGGGGGAGTGGGTCAGTCTGCAGTGGGTGGCTGATACCACAGGCCTATTCTGTGGCCCTCAGCAGTTCATCCTAAGACAGGAAGCTCCTCTGCTACTTGCCAGACTCAATCCCAAGGTGAGGCCTGTCTGCTTATGATCTCCTTTGCATCCACACAGCATCCCAGTGCACCACAGGGGCACTGCTGGGCTCCGGGTGCTCTTGATGTCTCAGGGCCCGTGCAGAACCTCCAAGATTCCTCCTCTGGGTTCCTGAAGATATGGCATCCATCTGGGGGTCTGGCCACTCTCCTCCCTAGCCCAAGAAGAAACTTACCTCTATCCATTTCTCCCTGAAACCAAACCAAACAAAAACAAAGACCAATTTTATTCCCTTCATGGTGTTAGTCTGTGAAAATTGCAGTTTGGCTCACCCCCCTTGCAACTTTTTCTCATCACCCCGTGGCACAAAAAGGGAATTAGTTCCTAAAGAGAGTGAACTCCTTTTACCTCTGAAGAAATCTCAGACCTTAGGGACCCAAAAGTTTGGGGGGCTAGGGGATGCCAAGATTCCTCCTATTGGTAGCAAGAATGTTTTTTTCACTCCTTCTGTTGTTTAGAAATTTAGAGAACAAAGAAAATATGGACATAGAACAATTATGGGCACAAATCACCTTGAGTTGTAATGCTTACAATTTCAATAGAAGTTCAGAGACAGAGAGTTTTGTTGTCAAGAAAAAGACTACCTGTTTCTCCAACCTTCAGTCTTTCTATTCTGAAACCTTCCTTCTTCTTTTTTTTTTTTTTTGAAAGAGAGAGGGCACGTGAGTGGGGGCGGCAGAGGGAGAGGGAGAGAGAATCTTACTTAGGCTGACTCCACGCCTAGCGCGGAGCCCAACGTGGAGCTGGATCTCATGACCCTGAGATCATGACCTGAGCTGAAATCAAGAGTCGGATGCTTAATCGATTGAGCCACCCTGGCGCCCCTGAAACTTTCCTTCTTGAGGCAGCAGAATTCTCTTTGTGGAATATCAGGTGGATCTTGGGGCTCCCCTGACCTATAGAACAAATCCTGAATGTTTACTTCCTATATCAAGCTTTCTGTGACAAGCCCAGAGCAACCTAATGTCTCCCTTCCCTGGACTCCTGTTATTAGTCTGCCACAGAAGGTTGCTTGCAACTGTAATTATTCTATGTTTCTGTTTTCTTTTTCTCCCACTCAATTAGCCTCCAAGTTTATGAACACAAGAAAAAAAAAAAGCTATTCTTGCTACCCAAATTTCACATGAAGATAGGATTCCATTTCCAGTATGAGAAGACAGCTTTTCTCAGCAGCAGAATTGTAGGCTAAAACGATTGTATGCCCTTAAAAGAATGAACAAACTTTGTCTGGAGGTCTTCTGCTCTATGGAATAATGTTACTTGATTTGTTTCTCCACTTGGATGGTCAAAAATATAAATTAAAATATATCCTTCCAAATAGGCTAATAAAGAGACTGAATGAAAAATCTCCACTTGTCCAGTAAAATGTCAGTGAACTCTATTGGAAATATTAGAAATAAAATCATTCCAATAGGTTTCCTTGACAGGTTGTGGTTGGTTATATATGGTAGTGATTCCTGTCATTTTCCACACTGTGGAGTCCATGGAAAACAACAGTGTTTGTACAGCACCCCCCAGGCAAGTCAGAGAGGCCTCTCTGGGTTAGAAAGCGGTTGCCCATGCCCCCTGAATGTGACGGGGACACCTCGCATTTCATTCACGGCTCATGGATTCGGAAACAATGCAGGATGAATCCACACCTTCAAATTTATCTGGTATAATTTTTTAAATGGCAATAACAGCAAAAACTGAAGAAGGCTACAACCGGTTCTTCTTTCTCCTTTCATTTTTGCTTTCAACCTCAGCGATGTCCAAAGTCACAAACCAGTCCTCTGTACTCGGTCGGGAGTGTGAATGCCCCTGGATGCATAATCATTGAAATAGTTTTCTGTTTCCTTCCTCTCTCACTTCCCTTAGGAAGAAAAAATTTTAAGACCCCATTCATCCACCTTCTCACATCCATGGAACTCAGGTTTGCCTAAGACAGTCTGTGCCGGTTAATGAACTAATGACGTCTCAGCATGTTGAGCTCAACAAAAGTAAACTCTTAGCCAGACCTGAGTGTGATTTAATGACAAATATACAGCAAGTTGCTCAGAGGATTGCCCAGGCACAAAGGATCTTCTTCAAACTATTTTAAGTATTGTCTTTAGGAAACAAATAGGCTACATTTGGAGGTTTTCAGGCAAACCGTTTTTGCCAGATACTTCTCAGCTATCAAATGAACGAAGACACTTTCCTATTTCAGTAATTTAGACATCAGCATTTTTTTGTCCAAGCTAAAATAAGCCACCTAAACATAGGATAAGAGCAGATACCAAAATGACAAGGGTCTGTGTTTTATTTATTAATGCCTGGAATGGAGATATCACTGCCTTCGCCCTGAGTCTCCCCTCCTTACCCCCGGGCACCACACACCAGAGGATTAAACAGCCAAAGAGTCTATCCTTTAGAGACATGTATGGAGGCAAAGCATTTCAAATGTCTTTCAGGAGCTAGCTAAACATGTCTGATTGGGGGATGGGAGACAAGGAAGGAGTTTAGCTTTGAACACATGCCAATTCCATCTGAAACATTTAAGAACAGCCAACTTTGCTACAGGCACTCATTTACTTAGTTCCAGAAGTAAATTAATAGGACAGAATTGGAAACTGCAGGTGGGAATGAATTAATGTCTTGTAGGGTTATTGGTAATGCCCAAGATGCTTTGTAAACTAAAAGTACTCCATAAAGATGTCATTATAAGTACCTTTATCGTTAGGAGTAGCAAGATTAATAACAATGAAGCAAGTCAAGGAAGCAAAGTTGGATTTTATTTTCTTTGTTTTTCGCGCAAAGAAGAATGTGTCAAATTAGTAAAAGTTATACGGTAGAGCCATACAGTAAATCCCATCAGGGAGACCGGCAGATCATTGGGTTATCCTGGTTCAGAGAACACCTAGCTATACATTATTTGTAAAGTCTCTCTCCCTTGCTTTAAATGTTTCTCTTTGCTTGATAAAGGCCAGAGGTCAGGAGTTATGTACGTGATCATGACCTCCACATATTTGTGGTCTGACTCTTATTTGCTAAGTAGCTCAGGCCTCAACATAGTTCCTATGGAGTTAGTTTTGAAGTTATGTCAGAATTACCATATGTTTTCTTGACTTCTGTGACCGAAGAGCAGGAACCCACTGATAGCCAACCCCTGCTGAGTCTTGCATCCTCAGTAATCCTTGTGGGTGACATGCCGTCCACACATTTACTCATTTAATCTCTGCAACAGCCTCGTGATATAGGTACCATTATTGTTCTTGTTCTACAGGTTTTTAAAAGCTGAGGCTTACAGGCGTGAACTAACTCGCCCAGAAATTCCATCCCACATCCGTCCAGCACCAAAAGTCCACGCACTCACCATGAGGAAAGTCTGTTCTCTGTGTGTGTTCACAGTGACCCGACAGAATATTCAGTGATGGGAAATGGACAATGTTGCATTCACGTGGCCTCCTGTGTCCTCTTTTTCTCCCCTACCCCTACCTTCTTCTCTGCCCTCTTCCTCCAGTTTGGCCTCATTTCAACTCTTCCCTTGACTTTCTTTTTCCAAAGGCAAATATGCCATGCGAGACCTCGTCCACAGGCTTCCAGGTGGGAACAATAGCAACAACGCAGCGAGTAAGGCCATGTCGGATGACACGGTGACAGCCGTCTGCTGCACCCTGCACGAGGTGATCACCAAGAACATGGAGAACGCCAAGGCCTTACGGGATGCTGGCGGCATTGAGAAGTTGGTTGGCATCTCCAAAAGCAAAGGAGATAAGTAAGTCGGACAGTGACCTCGTATCTCTGTAGAATTGGTATTGGTAGAATTAGTTCTAAGTGTGTCCAACATCCAGCCGGTTATGGGTAACACTACGGAATGTCACTGGAAAGCATTTGTCGCTAATAATCAAGAGAAGGGAAATAGCACATGGTTTCCAGTCTTCCCGCCCCATGATGAGAGCTGATCTTCCTGATAATTTCTATTTGATTACTAACTCATGACTTGGTGACTGCTATGTTCCTGGTAAGATAGACTTGACAATCCAGCATGCACACACTAGTGTGTTCCTCCAACATAGACTCGACAAGCAGCTTAACCTGAGAATGTGAAGGTATCTTTTGGTTGCTGTTCCTTTGTGGTTGCAGGTCCAAGTATCGATGACGGTCCACATCCTTTTGCCCTTTGTCTCTTCAGCTGTGCATATCGAGTCATGCAGGGAGGGTGGGGGGAGCAAAAGGAGGGGGGCGTCTCAGTGCTGACCCACCATCCTCCCATGTTAACTGTACATTTGGGGCAAATTGTTTAATTTAATGAGGCACTCTGCTATACTTCACAGTGTAAAAATGAGGAAGGGGCTGTCATAATATCCTAGAAGTAGTGATAATCACGTCTTAAAGGAAGAATAGAAGTTTTCCAGGCAGAGGGGATGGTGGTGAGGAAGGACTTTTATGCAAGTGGCATAAAGAAAGATAAGGCTCTGTGTCCAAGCAACCGCACCACTGAGAATGGAAATGTCCCCAGTTTGATTTAAGAATCAATGGTATCTTACTGCATGCAACCAAAACATATCTTCAGCAGCCAGAGCGTCATTATATCAGCAAGCTGTCAATGTTACAGAAACATTCGCAAACCTTAATTAAATTTTGCCTCCTGGAAATCTCTCAGTGTAACCAATGAGATTAAGAGGGTAAACCCTTTGTTATCAAAGGTCTACTTCTTGACTTTTCATTCCCTACCTCCCTCATTTCTTGACATCTAAATGCTAAATAATTTTTCTTCTGTTGTTAAAGGCTGTGAGGGAGGTAAACTTAGACTTTTTGGAAATTCTCTCATTATTTCATTTGATTCAGGATATTACCATTGTGTTAGAAAAGAAGTCTCAGGTTTCTATGTAAGCACCCTGAGACCTCCCAGTAAGTTTAATCAACAATTTAGTATTAGTATTCCAGTACTTTTCTATATCAAGTAGAGGAGCCCCATTGGACTCATGTAATAATGGTACAAGAAAGATGGTTGGCTTGAATTATACCTTATTATATTGGACTTCAAATAAATTGCTGTTCCACATAGATAGGAGACCACACAGTTTTCTTCTTCATGTAGCTTCAGTAGAACCTTGGAATCTCTAATTAAAATGCTTCTCTGTTTTGAGCATTAGGAGCTTAATATGTTAATTTTTTTTAAGCAAACACACACACACAATGAGACCATCATCCACAAAAACACTCCAACATATTGGTGCATATTGGTGAGATGTTTAAAGATTCTTTTCTCTGAACTGTAAGACTAGAAAGTTTGAGGGGTGGTCTGGCATATATTAATTTCTTCCACCTGTGTGGGCATCCCTACTACAGTAAACATCCCTCAATGGGCCTTAAAAGAGAAGAGATGCTTTTATCAGTCCTGTGGTCAAAGAAAATTACTTGGTGAAACTAATTTAAAAATCATTTGAAGAAACCATCCATGAAAGAGTGTACATCCACATTGCCAGTCCAGAAAATGGTCCTATTAGGTCTTGTCCAATCTTGATTATTGTTAACGGGATGTTTTTTTCACTATGGATGATCTCATAACTGTCTGCTGATTTGATTGGAAGTTTCTTTATGGAATAGTGACGTGTTTCATCTCATTGTTCCTTGACCTTTTTTTCCAATGTTAATAGTCAAGATTTACACCAAGTTTAATAAGAAGTGTTGAAATGGGTGGAGTTGGGCATCTTCCCATTTCTCCTGCTTATCTCTTTTTTAAGAATTTATTTATTTATTATTTGAGAGAGAGAAAGAGAGAGGGAGAGAAAGCAGGGGGAGGAGCTGAGGAGAGGGAGAGAATTCCAAGCAGACTCCATGCTCCACACAGAGACCGACAGAGGGCTTGATCCCATGACCCTGAAATCACAACCTGAGCCAAAATCAAGAGTCGGTGCTTAACCGACTGGGCCGCCCAGGCTCCCCTTACCTCTTTTTTATATAATGACTAATTTGAGGATCAAAACAGGGTTTTTATAACTGCATATAGCCTCATCTCCCACCTACACTTCAATTTTGTTACTGCTTCTCAATACCCTTCAAGAAATCCAGAAGAGGGGCACCTGGGTGGCTCAGTTGTTGGGCGTCTGCCTTCGGCTCGGGTCATGATCCCAGGGTCCTGGGATCGAGCCCCGCATCAGGCTCCCTGCTCAGGGGGAAGCCTGCTTCTCCCTTTCCCACTCCTCCTGCTTCTGTTCCCGCTCTCGCTGTCTCTCTCTCTCTCTGTCAAATAAACAAATGGAATCTTGAGAGAAAAAAAAAAGTTTAAAAAAAAAAAAGAAATCCAGAAGAATTATTCTGAATTTCAACACTAAGCTCACCACTTCACTCAATTCTGTTATGACATGAAGCACTGAGATTCCCAAGGCCTTCTGGCCACATTTCAACAAAACAGAAATTCTTTATTGAAAAGAGAGTTTTTGAAATTGGGGATTAGTTAATAATTGGAAAGGGGAGGGATAGCAGTTTGCTCTAGTTAATTTACAAAATCCTTGCAAATCTGTCCTCCCTAAAATGTCCTTAAAAAATTATTATCAGAAATAAGTTTAATTCAAACCTGATTTTTAAATTTCAGATAGCAAGATAAAACACAGGTGGAAAAATGTGCCTACCTGTGATCCTCCATTTTGATGCATTTGTATGTTTCATTTCTAAATACACACAAACTTAAACATGCCATGCTATTAACAAGTCAGACTAGTGAGGTGTCAATCACAGTCTGTTTGAACTGTAGCTTGCTAATACAACCACCAGGACTGGAGTTCTGGTGTCCTACAGCTTGGAATAGCTGTGCTGAACACACACAACCAATTGCACCAACTGACATCCTCAGTCACCCCTAATTTCACAACTTTAGTGAGGATCAGACATTGTGTAATCATTAATGACTCTTATAGGAGTCTTACACTTACTATTTTCAAGTCTTGATAAACTATTCTTTTCACATCATTTGAAACACACATTATGGACATTCTGCCACATCCATCTACTTTGAGAGTACATTTGTGTTTTTTCCTAAGTTTAAAAATTATATAGGAAATAGTGCATTGCATGTGTCACTGTAGTTTGTCGTAAGACAGAAAAGCTGTTAACCGTCTCATCTGTTACTTGTCAGTGAGGAAGTGTGTATTGTGGCTTAGGCTATAGTCACTTGTCACATTAGAAACACTCAATTGTTCAAGTCCTTCAATCAATAGTAATAGTTGTTCAAGTAGAAGTTGCTATGGTACCAATCTAGTGATGGACTTTTAAAGTCTAAAAAAACAATGTTTGTTTGACCTTCACGTGTTATATATTGTAATATACTGGCATTTTAATTGAGAAGTTAAAACCCACTATTCATTACACATTCGTAGTCTTTTTCTATTTTGTAACTAAGCAAGAAGTAGAAACAAAATATTACACTGTTTCCAAGGAATTTTTGCATACTAAATATGTCTCAACTACCTTACCACTACATGAATATTCATATATGTTCCTCAAGAGTTGCTTGACTATTGTCATGGACAAATACCTAGCTAACAATGATAAAATACAGCAAAACATAACAGCATTGTTCAGCATTGATTATATAAGATTAACATGTACCTGTGGCCGCATCCATGAAAAGATCTAAAATTCTCTGTCTTTATTTTTTTTTTTTAAAGATTTTATTTATTTATTTGACA